AAAAAGAACCCCCCTGCCAATGCAGGGGACACAGGTTCGATCCCTGGTCCAGGAAGATCCTACATGCCGTGGAGCAACTAAGCCCATGAGCCACAACTGCTGAGCCCGTGTGCCACAACTACTAAGGCCTGCGTGCCTAGAGCCCATGCTCTGCAGCAAGAGAATCCACCACAATGAGAAGCCCACACACCGCAATGAAGAGTAGCCCTCGCTCGCCACAACTAGAGAAAGCCCGCGTGCAGCAACGAAGACCCAACGCGGCCAAAAATAAATAAATAAAACAAATACATTAATAAAAACAAAAAAGAGAAGCCACAGCAATGAGTAGCCCGCGAACCGCAATGAAGAGTAGCCCCCGCTCGCCGCAACTAGAGAAAGCCCGCGTGCAGCAACGAAGACCCAACGCGGCCAAAAATAAATAAATAAAACAAATACATTAATAAAAACAAAAAAGAGAAGCCACAGCAATGAGTAGCCCGCGAACCGCAATGAAGAGTAGCCCCCGCTCGCCGCAACTAGAGAAAGCCCGCGTGCAGCAATGAAGACTCAACACAGCCAAAAATAAATAAATAAATAAAAGACTATTAGGGCTTCCCTGGTGGCGCAGTGGTTGAGAGTCGGCCTGCCGATGCAGGCGATACGGGTTCGTGCCCTGGTCTAGGAAGATCCCACGTGCCGCGGAGCGGCTGGGTCCGTGAGCCATGGCCCCTGAGCCTGCGCGTCCGGAGCCTGTGCTCCGCAACGGGAGAGGCCACAACAGTGAGAGGCCCACGTACCGCAAAAAAAAAAAAAAAAGACTATTAAAGCAAAAGGAAATAAAAAGACCACGTGGGTGATACAACGTGTGACAGGGCCCCTGGGAATACTGTTTTCTCAGGCAGCTGGTCCCAAGGACAAATCTGCTCTTACATATCTCTACCTGGAACCTCCACCTCCAGGAAGCCATCCATGATGCCTCCTTTAACCCCCAGGCTCCCCCAACATGGGACCCATATCATGAGGGACTGTCACTGCCTGTCTAACATCTGTCTTCCCCTCCCTAAATGTGAACTCAGGAGGCCTAGGACCATGCTTGGCTTGCTCACCAGGGTCCTGGCACACAGTTGTTGCTTAATAAATGCTTGTGGAATGAACAAATTCCCAACCACGATCCTAGAGAAAGACTGCCAGGCTTTGTCTCTGGGCACCCCTCACTGAAGCACTGTGAGAAGGAAGTATGAGGCGTCCCACTGTTCCTGACAGGAAACAGGTTCAGAGAGAGAAAGGGCCTTGTCCGGGCTGTACAGCAGCAGACTGCGCCCTGAGCCGGAATCCGAACGGCTGCCCTGTGAAAAGACCAAGGCTCAGAGTGGGAAAGGACATGCCCAGGGTCACATCCCTCAGCCCTTCTCATACAGATGAGGACCCCGAGGCGCAGAAAGGGCTAGGATCCCAACAGCATCACACAGCAGCAGATGCAGAAGCCCCTTGCTGCTTATTTTGCAGTCAGGGGCTGTTTCCCTTGGGCCACGGGGCCCTGCCACCCCAGGGGCCCCCACCTGAGGTCACCATGGCCAGGCCCAGAAGGGCCTTTCCTTTCGTGCCTCCTGTGTGTGGCCAGGACCTGGGGCTCAGAAGCAGGAAGCCAGGAGGGGTGGTGGTAAGGGACAGGCGATTCTTCAGTACCAGTCTGCTGCCGCCCAGCCTGTAGGGACAGCAACGACAACAATGGCTAACACCCACTGAGGCCTATTATGGGCTGGGGTACAGGGTGCAGCCCACATCAGAGATGCTGCAGACCCACTCCCTCTGTCATATTTTGCTCTTAGTTTTGAAAAAATCAGCTACACTTAAAAAAAAAAAACCACACGAAGCTACTTGCTTTGAGAACACAGGGCTCTGGCCAGCCCAGGCCTGCCTCCATCAGATGGGGCAAGAGCTCCTGGCTGACCCCAGTCCTCTCGCCTCCCTGCAGCCTCACACTGGGTGGCTTCCCTTGGTGGCGGTCCTGGCCAAGCCGCTGCAGTCATCTGAGGTTTCAAGCCCAAGGCGTAGTCTCTCAGTCTCTCATTCAAGTCTCAGTCCCTCCAGGGAGCTTCTGTGTGATCCCAATTTCCTAGATGAGGAAACTGAGGCTCAGCAGGTAAAAATGAAAACTGGGTTTGGATCCTGTGCTCGTTAGCCTGGATGTTCGGGGCTGTCCTGATTCCAAAGATAGTCCAGCTCTCTCCCCTTGCCACGAAGAATGTCCCCAAATCTGAATATTTTCCCATCTAAAGTCTCTCTCTGGCCTCGGGATCCTTCTGCAGAACAAATGCCTCAACTATGACCCATAAAAAATACATCTATTAAAATAAGCGGCTTCACAGAGCACCTATTACATACCACGGACACTGTCAGGGACGATCCCAACAAGCCCTTGCCTGCCGTACGCCATGGGCTGGGGGCTATTTGCCCCATCCTTCAGAAGGAGAAAGTAGGCCTGGAGAGATGAAGTGTGTGGTCCAAAGTCCCTCGAGAATCACCAGAGTCACAGCATGGACAGTCAGCTTGGCAGGGACTGCGTGGTCAGGTGGTCTAAACGGTGTCGCTTCACAGATGTGCAGACTGAGGCCCAGGGAGCGGAAGGACTTTCCTCAGGACAGAAGGGCTCAGGCCACCTCTGGCAGAGTGCTGAGCCTTGTTTCCCTGAGCCAGCACTTGGCCTGGCCAGGGTCCACGATCTGGGCTGAGTGACAGTATTGACTGCCTGTCGGTCTGGGGAGGGGGCCAGGCTTGTGTGTGGAGGGCTGGGAGGGCTGGGAGGTACAGGGGAGGCCATCTCTGCTTGCCTGGGGACAGGCCACAGCCAAAGGCTTGGTATCAGGCCCAACTCTTCTGGTTTCAGTCAGACAAGCCCTGGAACCTGCACTTCTGATGGTCCTTGGCCCCTAAGAGACACTCGGCCTCAGGGAGGTGGGGGGACAGGAGGTAGAGAGACCAGAGAGACACAGAGGAAGAGAGAGAGAGATGGGAGAGAACAGGAATCAGAGACACAGAAAGATGAGAAACAGCGGGGTGGTGGCAGTGGGATGAATTGAGAGATTGGGATTGACATATATACACTAATATGTATAAAACAGATCACTAAAAAGAACCTGCTGTATAAAAAAATAAATAAAATACAATTTTTTAAAAAATTGATGAGAAACAGAGATAAGAGGGAGACAGAGACAGGGAGTGATTACAAGGTGACAAAGAGAACATGAGTATGGCCAGAGAGAAGGAGAGACAAAGAAATGGAAAATGAACAAGACTGATTGAGGGAGACAGAGGGAAAGCTGGGCCAGGAGCATGACAGGGACCAGGCCTGGCCAGGGAAGGGGCCTCAGGGAGGCCTGTCTTGGGGGACAGAATCCAGGCTCAGCTCTGGGACTACAGGCCAGGACCCCCACCCAGCGCTCCTGACACCCTCCACCTTCCCCCCACCCCACGCTAAGAGTCCCTGTGTCCCACAGGGCAGGGGCATCCGTAGTTAGCCAGGGTGGGTGAACAGGGGCTCTGGTGACCCCCCAAGATCCACTCCTGGAGCCTAGGTACCTGAGAAGTGGGACCCACATAGCCAGAGGTCAGTTGGCACCTGCCGGGAAGCTGGACACCTGCCTTGCCTCCAGGCTTGCCCGTGAGACTGGGGTAGACCTGCCAAGCCCACCCACCCTTCACAAACGTCAGCACCTGGCAGAGGGTGGGGTGGTGCTGCAAACCCCTAACCTGGACCCTCTGTGGCTCCCGGGACCTGGGGGAGTGCTTGGGTCAGACACTCCTTGGCCAGACACTCAGGGTCCATGAGATCAGGCTGAGGCTGCCCTGATCAGACAATTCACAGCTCTAGGCCAATGCTAGGCCCACTGTCTCTGCCGCCAGCCCTGCACACGTGCTGCTCTGCTGACCTGGAACACTCGTGCCCCTCCTGCACACACACTTGGGCTGGCTCACTTCCACAGCAAAGATTCGGAACACAGAACCTAGAACGCCCCGACCAGTGTTCTCGTCCTGGTCCTGCTAACTGTCTGTGTGACCGTGGGCAGGTCACCACTCTTTGCTAAGCCCCAGGGAAAGTCTTAAAGATGGACAGGGTGCAGTCACTTCAGGCAAGCCAAACAGATGCCGCCCCTGGCCTTGCTGACCTTCCCCTCTGGTGGGGGCAGACACAAGCCTAATCCCAGGCACGACAAACGTTAGGAAGAACACATGTCGGGGGCGGGCTACGAGGAGGCTACGGGGGTCTCGGTTTCCTCCCCTGTAAAATGGAGTTAATACCAGGATGCCCCTGAGACAACTGTAGTGAGGATGAAATGAGAGCACATAAGGGAAGTGCCCAGCACATAGTCAGTGCTCAATAAATGTCAACTCTGTTAACTGCCTTATTATTGCTGCCAGTTGTCATGGTGCCAACCCATCACTGGCCCCAGGAATCTCAAGAATTCAGTCCTGGAACCCAGAAACTTTAGCTACTCTCCCCCGGCTCACTCTGTTTCAGCCCACAGGCCTCTTTGGTGTCCTGCGAATACTTCAGGCTTGCTCCCATCGTAGGGCCTTTGCACTTGCTGTGTCCCTGGTCTGGACCAATCCTTCCTCAAATATCTTCAGGAGTCCCTCCCTTCTGGTCTCTGTTCAATTGTCACCTGCTCAGTGAGGCCTTAACTGCCCCCTCTCTAAAATGTCACTGTCCCCAACATTTCACTTCTCCCTTTTCTGCTGTACGTCTGTTCCACAGCACTTGCCACCACTGGGCAAGTAAGATATTTCCCTTATTTACTGGGTTTACTAAAAAGGCCAGCTCCATTTTTCCTGTTTTGTTCACCGCTTTGCCCCCAAAGCCTAGAACAGGGCCTGGGATGAGGGTGTTCAATATGTATTCAGCCTGGCCCCTTATTTTATAGGTCAGGCCCAGAGACTGAGGTTCTTCCTCAAGGCCAAGGGACACAGACAGGCAGAGGGAGGTCTATGGAATTTGAAGAAACTAGTCTCTTTCTCCTTCACTCCCCCTCTCCAGGCACTCCCTGCCCTGCCCCAACTCTAGGGTAAGAGGAGATAAGGCCTCTGATTGCAGGCTTGGGGCACCAGGAGACTGTCTGCAGCCTTAAATCCCTGCAGTGGCTGCTCTTTAGAGAGTGAGGGGCACTTGGGGATACCAGAATTGGGCAAAGATGCAATCATGGTGGAATGAGAAGATGGCAGTCCATTGAGGAAGCTCAGAATGCCCAGGTACGATTTGGTTGAAGGTGGGTAGGGTTCACCTGAGTGGGCATAGCTGGACACCAAAGGAGGCAGGCTTTGAATCCTTACCCTTGATTCCCAGGTGGTGAGTCTGAGAAGCAGAGAGGTGAGGCAGCTTACCTCAAGATTCACAGGGAGGGTCAGCCTATTGGATTAGTAATAGGGATTGCCTACTGTATGACAGGCACTGCACCAAGGCAGACGATCTCATTTCCTCCTCCCAGTGACACTAAGGAACTGATAACCTTTTTCTTGTATCCATTTTAGAGGTGAGGAAACTGAGGCTCAGAAAGGGACAGTGCCTTGGCCCAGGTTACACAGCTAAGAAGAGGAGTCAGGATGCCAAGTCCAGCCTGCCCCAGGGAGCACAGGAGGTTTTAAGTCCACAAGCTGGGTGTTGGGGGAACAGGCTGAAGAAACCATGGTATCCTGGGCCAGGTGCCCAAGTCAGGTATGAAAAAAGTCACACCCAGAACATGGAATTGCAAGTCCAGAAAGGCCTCTGGTGATCTAGGACTCAACAAGAAAGCAAATGGCCCAAGGTCACACTGATAGTTATGACAGAGATGGTATGCAAACCCAGGCCAGTTAGGGAAAAAAGCCAAAGGTGGTAGTGGACCCGTGCCCACCCCAGGCAAGGGCTGTGCATGGCGGTTGCCCCCTAGCAAAAGGAAAGATGTCAGCATGTTTGACAAACAAAGCTTGATGTGATGGCAACACCCAGGCAGAGGGGCCTCCCAGTCACTTGACTCTGGAGTTCTCAAAGGCACTTCCCTTAACCCCTGGGGACACTTCGCCCTGCTGGGGCCTGGCAATGAGATTCTTGAGGCTCCACTGGAAGTCAGAAAAGGGGGTGGAGGCTGGTGCTTGCTGGAAAAGAAATGGTAGGCCCAGCAGGAAGAAACCAGAGACCTCGTCCTGGGGCAGAACCAGAGCAAGGGTCTCTGAGTTGTGGTCCAGTCTGGGGACCCCCAAGTCCCAATGGAGGGGGCTAATATATCTACATGGGGGAAAGAAATGCCTGGAATTGGGGCTTGTATATGAGAGGAGCTTAAAACTGGAAGATTTGCAGTGCCCTCAGCACCGGGGATTCCAAAATATAGGATGAGAGTTAATGCAGTAGGGGAATGGTGGTCTGTAGACTGAAACTATGAATCTAAGATGGGGCTTTGGAGGAAATGTCTCTGGGGCACTCTAGCTGGGGGCCCCTGGGTTGGGGTTCCCAGAGCAGGGGGCCTGACATACCCAGATCTGAGGTCACTACCTCAGGGTCCTGGCTGGGGTGCAGATGGGGCCCTAGAGTGCGAATTTTGGATCTGGGGAACCTGGGATAGGGTGTGACTTTTAGGGGTCAGTGCATGTGGCTGAGGGGCTGCCTTCGGCTTGGACAGGGTCCTGGGGTGGGGGGGTCCCTAAGGCTAGGGTCGCTCTTTGCAGCCGCAGGTACCCCGAGCAAGGATCGGGACCTGGCTGTGTGATGTGAGCTGTCCAGAAAGCCCCGGGGCTGGGATTCTGCCTTGGGCTTGGAAGGGGCGCTGGGGTGGGGTCCCCGGACTTAGGAGAGCTATTTGCAAGTTAGAAGCCGCAGATGGAGTTCTGCATCGGGGCCGGAGGCTGGGGTTCCGATATAGGGGACCCGGGGTCGCTGTCCGCAGCCCAGGCTGATGACTGCAGGCCCGGAGGGGAGCCCGGAGGTCCTACCTGGTGAGTAGAGCGCGGCCAGCTCGCGGGCCCCGGCATGCTGCGCGCCCCAGCGCCGGCTATACGCCGCCTCGTCCTCGTCGACCTCCGGCTGCTGGCCCGACCCGTCT